AGTCCAAGAGGATGAAAAATCTGAGGCTGAAGGCAGAAGGCCTCTATGGGGCTAGTCATCCCCATGCTTGAGGTATTCCCACTTGAGGTATTATGGTGGCAGCTGTCTTGTTTGGAAGCCCATAAGTAACACCTGGGGAGTTGTAGGAAGCCCACGATGGAGATACCTGGCTACCAGAAATATTGGTTTTTAGCATGTGTGCTTTGCAAGGTTATGCAAGATTCCTGTTGTTGCTCAAGTTTATATAACTGAGCATGATTCATAATTTATCATGCATTCACCAGATGTCACAGATTGGAAGATTCAGAGAAATGCTGATCTTGGCATCTCGATTTATATCAGCTTTCCCACCCACTCCTTCTTCTCTTTCTCTTCTGTGCACTCCTTCTGGAATTTATTTGCAACAGGTTTAATTGCCTGCTGGAAATTCTGGAATTTATTGGCACCAGGTTTCATTTCCTTCCTCTGGAGCAGGAACCCAGCAGTTATCTACAAAAGGCACTGCCAAATGATAATGCTTCGTGTGCCAGAAAGGGAAAAACGTCTATTTTTCATCGGCCTGATGTTCTTCAGAGACATTGGCTACGACTTCCCTATTTCTCCGCTTCCACAATCATTAGGATGTTGTAATGGGATGTGGAAATTACATTGGGAGACAGGAGGAAGACCCGCAGACTTTCAGTTTTGCAAGATTCTGTTAATGGGATCTTATAGTAAAGATAGAGTTAGTACTCCTGGTTGTGCTTCTCGCCTGGACTCCTTCGAAGGGCTAGCATCAATCTTGCAAGAGAGAAAGTGTTTCTTCCTTTCCTTTTACTTTTCAGAAAACTAGGGAGAGTCCCTTCTGAAATGCTTCCTCTCCTTCGGTGGGCTGAGAAATCTTTTACATGCCTGTCTGTGCCTCCTCCTCCTGTCCCCTATGGTCATTCCCACAGACCAGTACAGATGGGGAAAGCTGTTCCAGAGCACCAAATCTGGAACCCAGGTGTAATAGCATGTGGGAAAGACCTTGGGAGACGGGGCGAAGCAATGCTGCTGAAGGAACGGTCAGATAAGAGAGGGCATAGCCCTCAGCTGCTTAACGGGTGGAGAAAGAGGCTCAGACTGTAAAGGAGAAGGGGGTGGAACTGTATTTTCAGACTTGCAAGATTCTATCAATGTAGCTTTACTATAAAGTGGAATTAGCTCAACTGGTTGTGATTCCTATCTGGTTTACTCAGCGAGACCAACATGAATCTTGCAAGTCTGAAAGTATAAATCTCTCGCCGTTTCCTTTACAGCCTGAGAAACTAGGGAGGGTCCCTTCTGAGTCTCTTTCTCCTCCCATTAAGCAGCTGCGGGCTAAACTGTCTCTTATCTGACCGTTCCCTCGGCAGCGTCTCTTTGCCCCGTCTCCCAAGGTCTTTCCCCCATGCCCTTACCCCAAGTTTGTTCAGGCAGCTCTGATGGTTCGAAAGAGCGTGCTCTCTCAAACACACCCACCCTCCTTTGTCGGATGAATTCAGTTGCTCTCTGTCGAGGATGTCACAGCAGCTAAGCAGGCAGGGGGAGAACTGTCATAAATGAACATTTCTTCCACATACACAACTGGATTGCTTTGAGGCAAAGCTTTCAGAACGTTTTTGCTTTTCAGAAGCACCGATACGTCTGCAGTCGTGCCGGAAGTGGGCAGCTATGAGTCAAGTATTATTTTTTTTTTCGGTTCTCACCTCCTACAGAGACTCCCCCCCTTCCAAACCCCAGCAGAATGCAAAGTTGGAGCAGCCACACCTGTCTATTCTTGTCCTTGTAGTTTTAGTGGGGCCACATCTCTATAGCCGGAGGCTCCTAACTAACAAACGTTGCTTCTTATCCCAAAGAATGTGAGTTAATGAAGGGTGGGGCAGAAGCTGAATCCTGGGAGATACAGACATTTTTCTGCCTAATTGAGATGACTTTTGTGGCTCCCTGTTTTGAGTTCCCAGAGGGGAGATTCATTTGTTGGGCAACAAATCTCTGCGATGAAAAAGCGGTGATTTATCTTGATGCCCTTCCCAAAGGCACAATGATTTGATCTTTGCATTTCTGCATGATATGTGGTTTGTCCCTTAGCTACCAAAAACCTCGGAAATCTTGCCATTATCATGCCCAGACAAATGTGTGGAGATGTTTCCCTTCTCTTCCCATTTATTTCTTCTTACAAACTTTTCTGCAAATCCTTTGGCCTTGTTCCGCTAGCGAAGAGCCTCACTCGGGGTGGGGAGAGGTCTTAACAGAGGAAAAATGGCTGGCGAGGCTTCGTATCGAAAGCCGAGGGGTGCGGACACCCCCTTTCTTTAATTGGGGTGTAGTTTCTGCTCTTGGTGCTCACCGGCCACGTTGCATCGTGCGAGCATCGAGGCTGTCATTTCCCAAGCAATGGCTTTGCAACAGATGGTCCGTTTGAACGTCTGAATAATCTTTCTGGATCCGACTGCAAAGGTTACTCAGCCCGAGTTGTGTTTCCAGCAGAGAACAGCACCCCTTTCTCTCTGCAATCTGAAAAACAGACTATGATCTAATAAATGTAATAAATGAACGTGTCTTCCAAATATCCAACTGGATTGCTTTGAGGCAAAGCTTTCAGAACATTTTTGCTTTTCAGAAACACCGGGACGTCGGCAGTCGTGCCGGAAGCGTGGCGAGATGGGCGGCTATATAAATAGATTTCATAAAATAAATATGAACTTCCTTGTATTCTCTGAGGGGCGACAGACTTGCCCACTGCTCATTTTGGCTGCCACGTTTCCCTGAAAGCTTTCTAAATGGCTACCTGTCCCCAGCTGCTGTTGGCTAGACAAGAGCAGCTCCCCGTCGTGATTTTTAAATTGGGGTTTGCTTTCTCTTCTTCACAGGTGCGGATGCTGGCTGACCCAACTGGGGCTTTTGGAAAGGTATGGAAATCTCCAGTGGCAAGGGGTTGGGGTTCAGGTGCAGGGCTAGGACAGGGGAGGCCCAGGGTGGTAGGATTAGGGAGTTGGAAGAGTGCCCAAGGATCCTCTCATCCCATGTTTTTCAACCTTGGCAACCTTAAGATGGGTGCCCTTCAACTTCCCTCCCTCCCTCTCTCTCTTTTCCTTCCTTCCTTCCTTCCTTCCTTCCTTCCTTCCTTCCTTCCTTCCT